GTGGTGGTCACCTTCAGAACACTCACGAATCTCCAAGTGGGTACAGAGCCCCCGCATCGATATTCAAAAGAACTCAGATGTTTTAGCAACAAAAAGCAACATGTTTGATCCGTATAGAGTCCAAGGAAAGCTGAGTTGGGCTGATATAGGAAGTTACAGATCCGCAACCGAGGTGGCTTCAATGTCTGTTGAAGAGAAGCGACTCGGATATGCTTCAGATGAGTTATGGAGATTCAGGTATTAACACACAGTTTAAGCTACTTCTGAGATTCAGTTATGATCGTTGGCACTTGACAAAACTCTTACATGGTATTATCATTACAGGAACCTCGTCGAAAGACTTGCCAGAGTTAATCCAACAGAACTAAGCCACAACGAAAAGCTCGCCTTCTGGATCAACATATACAATGCTTTGATCATGCATGTAATGTCTGAGAAATTTCCACGAGCTTTGATTTGAAGATACAAACACTTACAGTTTCCCGATTGTCTCAGGCATACTTGGCTTATGGTGTACCGAAAACCGACTTGAAGCTCTTCTCCTTGATGCAAAAGGTTTGTTCTCAGCATACAAAACAAAACACTTCCTGGTTTGGTTTGGACAGAGGTTAATGTTAGTCTCTGATTTGGAGATTTTATCAGGCTGCTTATACAGTTGGTGGGCATTCATACAACGCAGCAACAATTGAATACATGACTCTAAAGATGAGCCCTCCCCTGCATCGGCCTCAAATTGTACTAAACTCGGTTTTAACTTCTTACTTTTCTGCGATTAATTCTTCACTTACTATTCTAAATATCTTACCTAAACCGCGAGTTTCAGGCTCTGCTTCTCTCCATTCTCAAGCTGAAAGTATCAGATGAACAGACACATGCGGGGTTAAGTACACACGAACCTCTAGTGTCTTTCGCTCTCAGCTGCGGAATGCACTCATCGCCAGCGGTAATCTTTGCATATCTAATTGCATTTCACATCAGGACCTTGAACCAACATCGCAATGTCCTCACAGATATCGCCTGCAGGTGAGGATATACTCAGCCGAGAACGTACGAGACGAGCTTGAAGAAGCTCAGAAAGATTATATCCAGGCGTCAGTGGGAGTGAGCCCCAGGGGGAAGTTGATTGTCCCCAAAATGCTTAACTGTTTCGCCAAGAACTTTGTCGATGACTGCAAGGTTGCTCTGTGGATTTCACGACACTTGCCTCCTCGCCACGCTGCATTTGTTGAGCAGTGTATACACCGGAGACAACGCTGGGGTTTTCTGGATTCATCTAGTAGCAAATGCGGCATCGTTCCTTTTGATTCACGGTTCCGGTATTTGTTTCTTCCATAACAAGGCATTGATGCGCAATGGAGTGTTGAAAGCCGACATTGTTCCATAGCTAGGGTTTAGGTATATGGCTATTTAGGTGATTCATTTTTCTTTTCTCAAACTAATAAAAAATTAATGGATGTAGATCCGCAAAACGAAATAAGAAGACAAGATACATTCTCTCGAGATGCAAAAGTCTAATAGTTATCTCCGGTGTACATGACAAATAACTAAAATGTTGCGTGTTCTGTTTCAAAGAGAATAAGAAGAGAGAAATGAAACTAACTTGGTCCTAACTAGGCATTGATGGATGAAAGATCTACTTTCCGAGATGCCTGGACCACGTTCTTGTTTCCAGGGAATGATTTACGGGAGACGTCCACAAGCGCTTTGAAGCTGTAAGGCTCATGCATAGATAACTCTGAGAGGACTTTACGGTTCAGCTGGATGTTCTCCTTCGTCAGTCCGTGGATGAAGTTACCGTAGTTCACCTGTTTCAAGCTTTAGATGTTAGGATTCCAACCAAACATGTGATTTCCATGTTCTTCACCAGAATCAGGGTATTGATCCCGCATATAACACCATATATATGTTAAAGAGATATACAAAAATAGAACAATGGAACCGAGACTAGAAGTTCACAGAAATGAAGGACAAAAGAAATGGGTTTCTCTACTTGTATCATGGTTTCAATTAGTACGAATCTCACATTACCATCACGAAATGATTCGCTTCTTTTCACATCCTAAATCTCCATTTAGATGGTACAAACAACAGACTCGGGAAAAACCAATCACCCAATTTTCCGTAACAAAACCCTAAATCCAAAGGCTACAATCAGAATCTCAGAAATCTCATTTCTAAACTAATCAGAATTTACGAATCCACAGCTAGAACGAAATCGAGCAGTCACCGAAACCAATAAAGCAAATCTAGAGGATTGGAAGGGGTAAAAAACGTACTCCGTGTTGACGAGAACCGGCGTTGATTCGCTCGATCCAGAGACCTCTCATCTCACGTTTCTTGTTACGCCTATCTCTGTAAGAGTACTGAAGAGCTTTCTCAACTCTTTCTCTCGCAATCCTTATGCAGTTCTTCGCTCTTCCTCTGAAACCCTTCGCTAGCTTGAATATCTCCTTCTTGTTCATCTTTCTC